AAAGAATGAAGCTTGACCACTACCTCACACCATACACTAAAATCAACTCAAAATGGATTAAAGAACTAGACATAAGACCTGAAACCATAAAATATATAGAAGGAAATAAAGGCGAAACACTATGTGATTTGCACATCAAAGACATCTTTACAGATACATCACCCAAAGCAGTGATACTGAAGGCAAAGATAAACAGCTGGGACTACATCAAATTAAAGAGCTTCTGCACAGCAAAAGAGACAATAACAAAAACAAAGAGAAACCCCACTGACTGGGAGAACATTTTTGCACACAACACTAATGATAAAGGACTGATCACAAAAATCTGCAAAGAGCTGATGAGACTCAACAACAACAAAGAAAATAACCCAGTCAAAAAATGGGCAGAAGAGCTAAAAAGAAACTTCTCTGAAGAGGAAATGCAAATGGCCAACAGGCATATGAAAAAATGTTCAACATCACTTGTAATCAGGGAAATGCAAATCAAAACTACCATGAGATACCATCTTACACCAGTGAGAATGGCACATATTAAAAAAACTAGCAACAACAAATGTTGGCGAGGGTGTGGAGAAAAAAGAACTCTCCTGCACTGTTGGTGGGAGTGCAAACTGGTCCAACCACTATGGAGAGCTGTGTGGAGATTTCTGGACCTACTAAACATAGAGCTTCCATATGATCCAGCAATTCCACTCCTGGGTATTTACCCAAAGGACACAGAAACATCAATTTCAAAGAACACCTGCACCCCTATGTTTATAGCAGCACTGTTTACAATAGCTAAGCTTTGGAAACAACCCAAATGCCCAAAAATAGATGACTGGATCAAGAAGATGTGGTACATATACACCATGGAATATTACTCAGCATTCAAAAAAGATAAACACATGCAATTTGCAGCAACATGGATGGCACTGGAAGGGATCATGCTCAGTGAAATAAGCCAAAAAGAAAAAGAAAAATACCGGATGGTTTCACTCATAGCAGGAATCTAGAAAACTTAAATAAGGGACCAGGAAAATGAATAACTATAAGAAATTGAAAATCAGAATCAACAAAAAACTATGAAACAGAGACACTTTTGGGGGGTGGGGGGCGGGAGGGGAGGGATTGGGATCAGAATGGGGGGGTTGCAATTGTATGGGGAATATAAAAATAAAATTTATTATTTAAAAAAATAAATAAATAAATAAAACATATCCATTAACCCAAAAAAAATAAATAAAATAAAACTGGCTTGTATGTGCCCAGGCTAAAGTCTCCTCCCTGTCAGCATAGTTCGTATTCTTCTTGACTCTTTAGTTAATTAGAAACATTGCATTTCAGAAAGAGATTAGAACTTAAAGGGCTTTAAATCTGTTTTTGTTAAACTGTTTGTTCCATGAAGCAAATTCCATAAGGTCACACTCTCTTCAAATGAGGGGTTTCAGGAGTTTTAATATCCACCCTGTTCACTTATTTTTTGTCAGCTTAAAATTTCTACCCCTAACCCTTCTCTCTACTGAACACATTGTCCACCTGGAACAATATGTATAAATACTGACTGTACTTTGACAAAGTTGATTGTTGCATTGTGTTTTAGTCTGAGGATAGGACTATTTAAGGTATTCCCTATACTATGTCATAAGTCAATTTGCTTTTTCACTTTTATTTATTTTGAACCTAAAATATAATACTAAGCATCAAGCATATGTAAGTAGATGTGTGTATAATTTAATTAAAGTTGCCTACAAATACCCACCACTAAAAAAAAAAAAATAAAAAAATAAAAGTAGATACTCTATTTGATCTTATATCCCACTTTCGGAGAAAGATAGGTAGAGGAAATGAAACCACTATCTCAATGAGCTATTGCATTCTATGTTTGTTTGTTTGTTTCTTGCAGCATTATTTAAAATAGCAAGGGGATGTGGACAACTTAGGTGTCCATCAAGGAATGAATGGATAAACAAGATGTGCTACAGACTCAATGTAATATTGTTCAGGAATGAAGAAGGAACACTGCCAATTGTGAAAATATGTATGGACACTGAGTTCATTAAGCTAATTGAAATAGCAACAGAACAAGACAAATATTGGTGATCTCACTTATAAGTGGAATCTAAAATAGCTAGAGTCTGGAAATAATCTAAGAAATAACCCATTGACAGATGAATGAATAACTAAGGTATATACACAATGTAACACTACTCAGATATTAAAAAAAGAAATATTTTTCACCTTTTGTTTTTGCAGCAACATCCATAGGCCTAAACAGTATTACACTTAGAGAAATAAGTCAGAAGGAAAGAGACAAACACCATATGATTTCACTCACATGTGGCATGTAGAGAAAACAAAAAACAGATGAACTAAAAAGAGCTTTCAAACTATAAGACCAATTAGTGGTTTCCAGAAGGGAGGCGGGTGGTGGGTAGGTAAATTTGGTAAAATTGCAAAACTGTTGATAATGGATAAAATGGGACTTTAGTGGTGAATTTGATGTGTCGATATACGTAGTAGATATATGTTGATTTTCAATGATGTACTCTTATATAATGGTATAATACAATATTACTTGAATAATTAGTGAATAAATAAAATTTAAACAGCTGAAGTATGACTTCAGCTGAAAAAGAGGGGATAGAATGGTAGTTTCCAGGAGCAGAAGCTTGGGATAAATGGGGAGATTTTCAAGGAATAAAAACAACATAAGATGAATAAGTTCTTATAAACTAAAATTTATAATATAGTGATTACTGTCTTAACTAATTGTACTGTGTTGATCATTTCATAATAAATGCATGTTTCTAAACATTATTTTTACATCTTAAATTTCCTCACACAATGTATGAACAAATATCTCTCAATAAAGTTGGGGGAAGGGTACAGAAGTTTAGGAGCTAGAGAGGGAAGTTTAATAGATGCATGTCCGAGCCCGCGGACTGTTCAACGAGGTTCTCGAGGGGAGAGCAGCGACCTGAAGAACAGGGGTACACCACGGAGGGAGACACGTGCACTCTTCGTTCAGCTACCGCAGGTCTCGTTTACTTTCGGTTTCGGCGGGGCTTTATAGCTGGGGACCGGAAGCGGAAGAAGCAGGCCAAAGCCATCATGCGCACTGGGCCAAAAGAGGCTAATCCCGGAAGGGCACATGCCCTTATTTGGTGCGCCGGAGGTCGTCATGCGCACTGGGCCAAAAGAAGCACAGCCAATCACAGAAAGGGGGAGTATCCTGATGCCACAAGGTAAGGCGCCAACAGATGCATGGGATTTTACCAAGTTGACGGGGTAATAAGATAGTGCTATGCCCACAAGAATAGTCAATGTCAGGAATTCTACCACTTCAGTGCAATGCAGTGAACAGTTGGCACAGGTGCTTGCATCAGGGACCGCATGAAAGATACGGCATGTGGAAGTGAAGGAGTAGAATGGCAATTTTATTTGTCAAGTGTTTAATGAAACTCTTTACAGATATGAAGAAAATACAAAGTGTTTGCTGCCAAAGCTACCAGCAGGTAGAGGGGAATTCTTGATACTGTTCTTTACACTCATAAGTGCGTGTTCCGTGTAGGTCTGAATACACTACACCGTGAAATGCAGAAGACATGAGAATTCTGTGTTTAAGTTATGTACAATAAGTTTTGCAATGGGTGACAAAACACAGTCTTTTGTATTCTTTGTGGAACTTAAGGCAAAAGATACATCTGCATGCCAGAAGGGCAAGTTAGGCATGCATTATGTGTCACGCGTCTTATAGATCTTTCACAAGGAATTAGGGAAAAACACAGCTTTGAAATGTGCACATGCATCACTTAAACCACACACCATGCACTCCACAATTGCTACACACAAATTCCACATCTCACCATACACACTACTCACACACACCACACACAAACCACTCATACCATACCCACATTATGTACACACCACCACATTCACATGCACACACACTTCTTCATGTAATCCCCTGGTTGAATAGGAGGGATCAGTGAAAAGGAAAATAAACCAGTTCAATCAGGGAAAGAGACCCATTTGTTATCTCATGGCCTGTTTGGAACTTGGGGCACACATGGCATGCACTGCATCCTGCATCCCCCATGCCTACTCAACTTTTCAGGCTCAGAACCCCAGCAGGGAGGGAGGTTGAGTGGTTGGACCTCCTGAAAATGGTCTTTCAACCCTGTGAATGTGGAGCCTTCAGGAAGGGGAGAGGGAGGAAAAGACAACTACTACAGCAAGTGCACAAATTACTTCAACTTCATGGTTATCTGATGAGTAGCATCATTTTCACAGGTAAATAACAAAGGCCTAGAGAAGTCAGGACCCAACTGAGGGACATACATCAGAGAACAGAGTCTGGGGGTAGCAGGGCACAACTCCGTGGAAGAGAGGGAGCAGCAAGGCTGGGTCAGGGCATGTGCCCCATATAGAAAAATAGAACAAGTGACACACACACACACACACACACACACACACCCATACACACACACAGAGAGAGAACAAACCCCACAGGGAAACCCCATATACATAGATCAAACCCCACAGTACACCACTTAAAACAGAGAAAACCTCACCCATTCTACCCTCCACTCCACACTTCCTCCCGTGAGTGCTGCTAAAGAAACAAGAGTGGGGCCTCCCAGTGGCGCAAGGGGTTAGGCACCACACTATGAAGAAATCTGCAGCCTCTGCAGCATGACTGCAATCCCTAGCCGACCAGGGAGCAACCCACATGGAGAAGCAGACCTCTCCTGTCTCTCCCGCTGCTCCCCTCAGCAATGTGTCTCAGTCAGTCTGTTCCCCACTCTGTCTCTGGTGATCTTCTCACCCCCCACATCTCTGACCTGTGCCCCCGGCTCTTATATGCATAAATAAATAAATCTTTAAAAAAAAAAAAAAGCAATTCTATAAACAAGAAAGAAACAAGAGTGACAGGAATACCCTGGAACACAGAAAACCCTGTATTCCCTTAGCTCAGGTTTGTCCCTTCCCCATAGCTGGCTCTAGCCACTCACCTTCTCAGTCTATTCCAGAGATTGGTCTGTAGAAGGCAGGTCTTGGGGAGGCTTGGAGCAGATGTCTGAGGGCCTTATATAGCAAGTGACACCACAATGAGAAAGTATGGTTGCCTGAAGGAGGAGCTTCTGGGCCAGGTTTAACCCTTTGGCAGCCGTACAGTTAGTCAACTCTCTGAGACCACCAAGAACAGACAAGAATAGACAGGAAGTTTGGTCAAGGCTTGCCTTTGGTAAAACATGCAAAGGAGCAAGGTGTATTCTTGGCAACATTCCATGTCAGGATTCCATGACCTGTTAATTAGTCACTAGTATTGTAAGATGAACAGGAAGCAGCCATTTGGGGGAGGGCCCAGCTGTGTTTTGTTTCTGTGCGGAAACCACAGTAACTGGGGAAAACAGAACTTAACAAAGCTCAGGCAGATCAACCAATCAGACATGGACCCGGTGCTGGGTATGGAAAGTCCCCACATCCTGACAACTAGCTATAAAGAAAGGCTTGTGCCCTGCACCAGGGCCCTTCTCTCAACCTGATGGGACTGCTGCGTCAGTGTACCAGGCAGAGATAGGTCCTAGCTTAAGCTAGCAATAAAGCCTTTTTGCCTTTGCATCTCTGGCTCCGTGTGGTGTTTGGGAACCCCGGATGGAGTTGAGGCACCAACTCCTAACATTTGGTGGCTCGTCCGGGATGCCCAATTACTACATGAGGAGTCCAGAGAAAGGCTTAGGCTGGAGGAGGACATCTGACTCTTGGTTCATGGGCCTCCTGTGTCAGGCGTTTGAGAGACATCTCAAACCCGCAGAGGCCGATGCCCAGACAAATCCAGATTTGTTTGGGGTTTGAGGCCTGGCTCCGACAAGGAATCTGGAGCTGGTTCCGGTGAGGAATCCGGAACCCGTCCCTAGGCACAGGCCGGGATGTGGAGGCAAATTTGGGAAACAATCACTGCCCTTTCTGGTAAGCCCGAGGGCCTGTTCTTGTTATCTGTGGTCTTAGTTTGTGTCTTGTGGGAATTGTTGTCCCTGTCTTGTTCTTTCTTCTTCAGGATGGGCCAGGGACAAACCACAGCATTGTCCCTCATGGTGGACCATTTCTCAGAGGTCCAGACAAGGGCCCAAACCCTTAGTCTTAATATTAAAAAAAAAAGGTTATTAATCACACTGCTGAGGGGAGCAGCGGGCGGCAGGAGAGGTCTGCACGCCATGTGGGACCCTCCTCCGGTGGCCGGGAGCAGCCGGGAATCGAACCGGCGCTGCAGAGACTGCGGGCAGCTTCGCAACTCAGCGCTCAATCGCTGCGCCACCAGGGAGGCCCAAAACCCTCCCTTTTCTGATAATCCTAGGGGACTCGTTAACCTCTTTGCGTCCATTCTTTTCACCCACCAGCCTACTTGGGGTGACTGCTTACAGCTGATGCGGGTCCTCTTCACCACGGAAGAACGGGACAGAATCTGGGGAGAGGCTCGCCGTCAGTCCCAGGGGTGGATGGACGACCCACCCAGGACCAGGCGATCATTAATCGCCATTTTCCCTTGGAGCGGCCTCAGTGGGATAACAATACACCTGAAGGTTGACGGGATTCGGCTTGGATTCATTGCACCCATGGAGGTCCAGGCAGACTCTTCCAACCCACTATATGTCAAACTCCGCCCACGACCAGACCCATCTCCTGCGGTTAGCTCAGACTGACCTTCTCCGTCACGGTGATCTGTCGCTAGGATGTTCCTGCGCTTGTGGCTACATCTGACTGTATGTGCTCCCCTTGTCTCTCTTGTTCATCCCAACCCACACAGACCCCCTGCCAGACCCAGGGCTTCTGCATCTTGGTGCGTCTGGTCCCTAAGTTAATGTACCATTCCTGTGATGTGCTTCTTGACTCTCTGGAAGACATTAAAATGTCCAGACGCCTAAGGAGGGAACCACTAACTGCCATCACTCTGAGCACACTCCTAGGTGCAAGTCTAGTGGGAGCCGGCACGGGTGCCGCGCCTTTAATTTCCCAAGGCCAGCAATACTCAAGGTTACAGAAGGCCATAGGTGAGGACATAGAAAAATTAGAAATTTCCATCTCACACTTGCAAGACTCTCTGTCCTCCCCGGCTGAAGTTGTGTTACAAAACAGACGTGGGCTAGACCTCATCCACCTACAGCAGGGAGGGCTCTGTGCGGTCCTAAGTGAAGAGGGCTGTTTCTATGTCAATTATTCAGGGGTCATTAAGGAATCCCTGGCCAGTATAAGAGAGGGCCTGGCAAATCATACACTACATTCAAAAAAAAGCAGTATTACTTGTCTTTGTCATTCTGACTTGCTTTACTACATATAATTCCCTTCATTTCCTTCCATTTTGCTAGAGGCAACATTTCATCTTTTCTTATGGCTGAATAGTATTCCATTGTGTGGACATATCACATCTTCTTAATCCTTTCCCCTATCAATGAGCACCTAGGTATTTTCCAAGTCCTAGCTATTACAAATAATACTGCAAATAAAAGTTGTGGGGCATATGATATTTTGGCTTGATGCTTTCATGATTTTCAAATAGGCATCTTAAGAGATGCAATTGTTGGGCCTCCCTGGTGGCACAGTAGTTGAGCGCTGGGTTGCAAAGCTGCCCACAGCCTCTGCAGCGCCAGTTCGATCCCCGGCTGCTCCCCGGCTACCGGAGGAGGGTCCCACATGGCGCGCAGACCTCTCCTGTCGCCCGCTGCTCCCCTCAGCAGTGTACTTCGGTCCTTCTGCCTGCTCTGCTCCCCGCTCTGGCTCTGGTGAATTCTCTCACCCTCCCGCGCTTCTGACTGTACCAGTGCTTGTATAAATAAATCTTTTTTTATAAAAAAAAAAAAGAGTGCGATTGTTGTGCTACATTTTTTATTTTCAGTTTTTTAAGGTAAACCAGATCACTTTCCCAAATCATATCACCTATTTACATCCCAACCAACAGTGTAATAGGGTTCCTCTCTCTTTCTTCATCCTCTCTACACTTGTTGTTTTTATAAATACGTGCAATCATCATTTATGAGATGATATCTCATAAAGGTTTTGAATTAATTTATTATTATTATTATTTTATTTATTAAATGAACTGATTAACATTTTGCCATGTATCTATTGATCTTCTGGATATCCTTATTGGGGAACTGTCTGTTTCGATCTACTGCCCATTTATTAATTGCATTGTTTTGGGGGGGTTTTAGTAAATTGAATGATTTTAAATATCTCCTGATATTAACTCCTTATTGGTTTTGTAATGTGTGAATATTTGTCCTATTCCACAGGAATTCTTTTTAATCTATTTATATTTTCTTTCCCTGTGACTTTTATTTGTTTATTTATTCACAATATGCTTATTCAGTTAAAGTAGGTTTACTACGGTGTATTTGCTTTGACAGTAATAGGTTTAAACCTCTACAAATATATATTTTCGTACCCTGCCCAATACCAGTGACCCAATAATCCTCTGCCATTTTCCATTGAGCTCATTCCCTCCCCTACTCTCACCCTACCATGCTCCCACTCCAGCTGCCTCAGTTTTTCAGTCAGATATTAACAGTTTGTTACTGATTTGGTTTCATCTGACTGTTATGTTTCTCTATATTCCACATCTAAGTAAGAATGCCCAGTGTTTTCTTTCATCCTCTGAATTATTTCACATAAGATTATCCTCTCCAGTTCCATCCATGTTGTTGCAAATGAAAGATATCATTTTTTTTATAGTTGAGTAGTGTCCCATTGTGTGTGTGTGATCCACTCCTCTGTCCTTGGGCACTTAGGCTTTTTCCATAACTTACCTGCTGTAAATAGGTTATAATGAACATAGGAGTAACATATATCTCTTTGAATTAGTGTCTTTATTCTTTGGGTAGATACCTAAAAGTAGAATGACTGGGTCATATGGTAGATCCATTTTTAATATTTTGAGAAACCCCCAAATTCTTTTCCATAGGGGCTAGTTTACATTCCTACCAATAGTATTTCATGAAAACAAGTTTCCTCTTCTCCATATGTTCACCAATATTTGTTGCTTCTAGTTGTTTCCATGTGAGCCAGTTGCACCTGTGTGCGATATTATCTCATTGTGGCTTTGATTTGCAGTTCCCTGATGATAAGTGATTATGAATATCTTTCATGTATGTATTAGCTATCTGTATATCTTTTTTGGAGAAGTGTCTATTTAGATATTCCATCCATTTTTAATTGGATTAATTGTGTTCTTTTTGCCGAGTTTGTGAATTCTTTATGTATTTTAGATATCAGCCCTTCATCAGATGTGTTATGTACAAATATTTTCCCCCATTCAGTTATTTTTTGTTTTAATGATAGTTTCTTTCATTTTGCAGCAACTTTTTAATTTGATGTAATCCACTTGTTTATATTTGCTTTTGATTATCTTGCCATTGGAGACAAATCATCAAAGACATTTCTGAGGCCAATTCCGTGTAATGTTTTACCTATTTTTACTTCAATTTTTTAATACATTTTGTGTTAATTTTTGTGTAAAAAGATGGTGATCTAATTTCATTCTTTCAACTGTTGCTTTCCAACTTTCCCAACATGATAAGTTGAAAAACTCTTCTTTCTCCAGTGTGTATTTCTGGCTCCTTTGTCATAGATTAATTGTACATAGATTTGTGAGATTTTTGGACTTTCAATTCTATGTCATTGTTTTGTTTTTGTTCCTGTACCATACTGTTTTAATTACTTTAGCTTTGTAGTATAGTTTGTGGTCTTGGAATGTGATACCACCACTCTTCCTTTTTTTCTAGGATTGCTTTGGCTATTTGGGGTCTTTTGTAGTTCCATATAAATTCCAGCATTGTTTGTTCTCTTCTTTGAGGAATGTCATTGGAGCCTTGATAGGGATTGCATTGAATCTACATATTGTTTTTGGTAGAACAGTCATTTAATGTTCGTTTTTCCAATCCATGAATAGGAATAATTTTCCATTTCCTTGTGTCTTCTGTTTCTTCCAACAATGTCTTAGTTTTCATTGTATAGTTCCATCATCTACTATTGTACAGTTCCATCATCTACTATTTTACTCCTAAATACTTAATCTTCTTGTTGCAATTATGAATGGAATTGTTTTTTGGATTTTTTTCTTTTCAAATACATTGCATAAAGAAACACAACTTGATTTTTTCAGATTAATTGTATCCTTCTACCTTTCTGAATGTATTTATTTCATTTAGAATTTTTTTAAAGATTTATTTACTTATACAAGAACTG